CTGTTAATGCAAGCAACAATATGGTTCTGGAATTGCGTGCCAAAATCGACTACCTCTCTCGTATTTTCATGAGAAGAAAATAAAAAATACTGAAACCAATGAAGAACTTGAAATAGTCAAAAATAGCGAAAAAAATCCGCGAAAAAATTATGAAAAAAAACGACAAAACCGAGAAAAAACGAAGAATTTGGCGAATGATAAAACTCGCTTTTGGTGGAAAAAAAAGATTCTACAATGATTGTGGCTAACTATTTTTTGGCGCTGAAGTCGAAAAGATTTCGTTGATTAAATTGATGGAAAAAGAAAGATGGAAGATCAAGTCAAAATACCCAAGGCGAGGTCTCATCATTTAAACTTCTAGCCAATGCATCAGTTTCATTTTCATTTAAAAAAGATTGTGTTAAATATCGGAACCGCTTAAATTTGGTCACAATTAGATGTATTGTGATGGAAAGCCTACAATACAGATAATGTTGAAAATGTTGATGAAAGCAAATTAAAGTCTGATTTTTAATTAATAATATTCCAAAAATACAACAAGTAAATTTACTATATCTGTTTTTTATATTTAATACATAGTATCGACCATCGCTAATTAAAAACCATAAATACATAGTAACTTTTTATTTGTTTTTACCATTTGGTATTCTCAAAGAAACGTTGTCAATCGTTTTATTTGCTATTCAAATCAATCAATTCACCTATTTACAACACCACAACAATGACACTTCTGTGGTTAACTATCGTAAATGGTCTGCCGGTTGTGTTAATATTACTCGGAGATATACCATAAAAAATTACAATCTTTACATTTCTTGCATACTTTTTTGGATGTATAATTTGGTTAAAAAGTTAAAAATTTTAAAAATAAAACAAAAAATAATTATTTAGAAAAAAAATAAAAAAGCTATTGATTATAATTAAAACAACTATATTTATACTTAGTTTTTTCCATTGTTAATTAAAAATCGGACTTTACAGAATGTCGATTATTTTTAGACAACACAAAGAACAAAATGAAAAAGCATATGATTTGACATCCATTTTGATCAACTAACAATTGAGAAGAAAAACGATACGATTTTGGATGGATGAACAATAAAATCAACAACTTAAATGCCGAAGTCAATATATTCAGAAATAAGGTGACTCTACGAAGATGACGGGGACTGTAGAAATGAACAAAAAATATCAAGAAAAATCAAAATAGTACGAGCCGATATCAATCAACAGAGAAAAATAATACCCAATTATATTCTCTGTTGATTATTATAAGGTGATTAATAAAAATGATATAATATTATTGAAATAACAGTATGAGCCGAAACTATTGAGAAGAATACTCATATATGTCAACAAAAAAGTCAAGACTATATGATACTTGAAGTATACGTCAAAAGAACAAAAATTGGACAAATAATAAAATAAATACAACAATTTGAAAATGATGTGTCTAAAATAAAACAGATTTGATAACTTTTGAACAAGCTGCCATGAATTACAAACAGTCAACGACTGTGTATGTAATGATGATGGTGGCTGTGTTTTAAAAATAAACTGTTCTTCCTTTTCCATCATGTGAGATGCCAGTTATCAAGCACCTGCTGGTGCGCCTTTTCGACTTCATCAAACAGAACAAAGCTGTATGTATTCGTTATGACTGTCTCTATCAGTTGTCCACTTTCGTCGTGTCCAACGTTATCCGGTGGCGCTTCAATCAGTCGTGAAACGCTGTGCAACTCCATGTACTCACTTCTGTCAATTCTGACGTTGTTGTTATCGTCGTCAAAAAGCTCATCTGCAAATGTTTTTGCAATCTCTGTCTTGCCTCACCATTTAACCCAAGGAACATAAATTACATAATTGATTATTTGTCTGAGCAAAGACAACTTCTGCTTCTCAAAATATTTCCAACAACTCTTTTGTGCAACTCGTCACCAAGTTTCAGGAGTCTTGTCTTCTCGCTCTGTGTCATTCTGTTTATTATAATGCCCATCCATTTGCTCACTACATTTTCTATTAATTGTGGGTCATTAATAACTACAACTTCGATGTTTCTTTGTCTGGTTCTTCAATTCTGAAGGCCGCTTTTCTTTGCCTCTTAAATTGCAAAAAAAAACTTCAAGTCTGCACAATCTTAAGTTCTCCTGTTATCTCAGCCTTGTGTTTCATGTCTTTTGTTTTCTCTGCAAACACTTTGAACTTTTCGTTCTCACACAAGCTGAGTCAATGATTGTCAATAAAGAGTGGCTCTCATACTTCTCTCTGATGCCTCTCAAGATTACATTGTGTCCATTTCGCTCGGCGATGTAGACATGTTAGAATTGCCTCTCATATTCAAGGTTTCTTTCCAATATATTACGACTTGCTTAATGACAATATTGGTGTCGTATGTTCTTCGCATTTATCACACTTTCTCCTTTTGCACCTGCACCCAAAACAATGTGATTTTATTTATAATAAAGGGATTCATGAGGATTGTTAATTTTTCTGAGGATGGTAAATATCTTAAACATAATTTCTTTCATTTGG